TGTTAACCCTACAAGGCTCAAGAGTGGTTAGTCCCTGCCCTAGAGAACATCCAGACATCAGACTCCTCCCACAGAACATTCTAAAGGCAGGACCCAGACCCTCCAGAAGCAGACAGCCATGCTCCACTCAACAAAGTAAAAAGCTCAGCACTTGAAATTCCACCAATCCCCACCCTGAAAATCTACACCCTGGGAAGTTCTGCCCTCCCCTCCCCCTAAGAAACCCTGTATAAATGCTGTCTTCTGCTCAGGTCTCTGCGGCTTCTCACCAGAGCCACCCACCTCGGGGGTTTTGTTTTTGTTTTCCTCCAAATAAATCTCCTGTGTGAGATTTGTTGGGTGGTGTGACTTTGTTGTATCCTTGGCTCCTGACCGCCAGGGTACCTTTCCCTTCAGAGCTGTGACATTTACAGGTACGAAGACCTACTCCCCCAATCAGCCCATCCCACCTCATCATGCTTCCCACCGTCAGCCTTTCCTTCCCCACAACTCCAGCAGATTCCATAGCCCCAGACACAGCTCACACCCGTCAGAAAAACAGCACCCCCTCCTCTGGGCTCCATATTCTGGTCTACAACTTTGGAAGAAAATGTCAGTCTTTATGGGAGGCCAGGCTGCATCTAGGGACCCAAGACCCCAAAAACCCTAGCAGAGACACCCTAATGGATCTGAAGACTGTGTAGTCATCAGAACTCTTGGCTTCTTAGGTCACAAGATCAGAGAGTAAACAGAAAATAAAGGAATACAAATTCAAAAGCTGGAATCAACACCTACACCTATAATCATTCCCAAACCACATGTCTAAATGCCAGTGCAAGAACACAATCAATGACAGAAAGGGCAACATGGCACCATCAGAACCCAGCTGGAACACAGGAAAATGACTTTAAAAATCACTTTATGAAGATGATAGAGGTTCTTGAAGAGGAAATGAAAAGTATCTTAAAGAAATCGAGGAAAATACAAACAAAAAATTGGAAGAAATCACTGGTTAACCCTGACTGTCCTGAGCTGGCTTATGTAAACCAGACTGGCCTTTGAACTCTGAGATTCCCCTGCCTCTGCCTTCTAAGTGCTGGGATTAAAAGTGATGCCCAACATAGGACCTCACAGCCCAGGTTAACTTTGAACTTTGCTTCCATTCATTTTTGTTTATACAACTATTTCTCTATGTCAAGATTTTAAAAACAATTATGTAAACATTCTATACCTAGAACATAGATGTTGGAACTTGCTTCGTGGTGTAGGGTGGACTCATATTCAAAGAGATCAGCCTGCTTCTGCCTCCTGAGTGCTGGGATTTAAGGCATGCGCCACCAGGCCCCATGTGATACCACGTTTGGCATACTGAGGCAGAATTGCGGCAAATTGAGGCCAGACTGGGATGCATAGTGAGTTCTAGGGTACAGAGTGAGAGACATCCTATAAAAAATAAAACCCATAGAATGAGGTAAGTTATATAAGGATTTAAAGACCCGTGTACAAAACTCTTATCCGTCCAGCATAAAAACAAATACGGGTGAAGCATTTGAACAGAGGCTTTTAAAAAGGTACCCAGTGAAGCTGGGGAGATGACTCAGTTGGTAAAGTTCTTGCCATACAAGCATGAGTTTGGATCTCTACCACCCACAAAGAGGATCAGGCCAGGTGCTTCTATCATCCCAAAGTGAGGCAGACATCACTCATCTAGCCAATCATCAAGCTCCAGGTTCAGTGAGAGACCTTGCCTCAAAAAGAATACAGTGATTGAGGGAGGCATGCAATCTGATCTTTACATGTATGTCCCTCCCAACATGTGCATACACAAATACATACAAAGACACACAAATGGCTTACAAAAATGTGAGATATTCAATATCTAGTCACTAGTGAAATGCAAATCAAGACCACAAATGAAGTCACTAGGGTACCCACAATAAAAGTGGCATATGTTGAGGAGAATGTAGAGACGTGGACCCTTCACAGGTCACTAGTGCAAACATTAAGCTACTTAAGAACCTGGCAGATCTTCAGAAAGTTTCCTAACATGTCCACATAGACCTGACACAAAGTGGAAAGCCCAATGTCCGTTAACTAATGAAGACATACATGTGGCATATGTCTACAACATGGACCATCCTAGTCAGAACACCAGTGGAGTGATTTTGCAAGATGAATGGATCTTGAAAGCAATGCTACATTTCAAAAGACCACAGAATCTTTGATTACATTTAAGAAAATGTTCAAAATAGGCAAAACTATTGTAGACAGAGGATTAGTGATTGCCTAGTGGCCAGGGAGGTAGGAATGGGACATAACTGGCAATGAGCTTGTGGCTTTTTGGGGTGGGAAAGGAATGATGAAAATATTCTGGAATTACAGACAGCAGTGACCACCACACAACCATGCACACCACACACTGAACCTCCTGCTTTAAGACAGTCAATGTTGCTTTTCAAGACTGGGTTTCTCTGTACCCTGGGACATGCTCTGTAGACCAGGCTGGCCTAACTCAGAGATAACTTGCCTCTGCCTCCTGAGTGCTGGGATTAAAGGCGTGTGCCACCACTGTCTGGCAACACTGTCAATTTTATGGTGTATTTATCTTTCAAAAAGGGAGAGAGGTTTTTCCTCAGCCATCTCGTGGTCCAACAAATCAAATGAGGCCAAGTCTACCTAGAGGTCACAAGATACAGGGTGTGAAGCCGCTCACCAACAGTCCTTCTGTCTTGAGCGCCTGTTCCAGTGGTTCCCACCCTTCAATCATTCAGTACAGTACCTCATGTTGTGGTGACCCCAAACCATGTTATTATTTTTGTTGCCACTGTGTAACTGTAATTTTGCTGTTATAAATCATGTAAATGTTTCTCATTGTCTTTGGTTCTCATTGTCCTGCAGGTTGCGAACCACAGCTTCAGTTCTAATGATTGTGTTTAAGCAGTGTAGTCCTATTACTCTGGAGGTTCAGCAGGTGAGCAAGCCACAGTTCTAATGAACCACAGGCTGCTGAGGAGTTTCCTGCAAATGAGGTTAGTTTGAAGAACCCTGAAACCCTGACTCTGGGTGAGTAGATTATATCTCCAGAAGACTCAGGCCAATTGGACAATATGAGGTCTATGGAAAAACTTGCTATATATTCCCCCCCCCCTTTTTTTTTTGGTTTTTCAAGGCGGAGTTTCTTTGTAATCTTCTAGTCCCAGAACTGGCTCTGTAGACCAGGCTAGCCTGGAAAACTCACAGATATCTCCCTTCCTCTGCTTTGAGTGTTGGAATTAAAGGTGTATACCACCCACCACCACTCAGCATATCCTTCCTAAGAACAGAGACTGGGCCAGGTGGTAGTAGCACACACCTTTAATTCCAGCACTCATGGGGCAGAGTGTGAGACCAGCCTGGTCTACAGAGTTGAGTTCCAGGACAGCCAGGGCTAGAGAAACCCTATCTGGAAAAAAAACAACCAAAGAACTGAGATTGGAGGTGGAGAGCTGGGGAGTTCTAGAGGACCCAGGTTCAATTCCCAGCACCCACATGGCAGCTTATAATTGTCTGTAACTCCAGTTCTAGGGGATCTGAAACCCATGACAAAACACTAACGTACGTAAAACAAGGGAAAAATAAAGTTAAAAAAAAAAATGAGTAAATAGGTAAAGAATATTTAAAAAGAACTGAAATTAGCTACATGCTTTGAGTTGGGAAGAGTGCACTTATAAGAAAAAAATACTGTTTGCACTATGTCTGTGCACCACATGTGCCTGGTATCCGTGGAAACTGGGAGAGGATATTCGATTCCCTGGAACTGGAGTTAAAGTGCCAGGTATTAGCATGTCATTATGTGCTGGCAACTAAACCTGCATCCTTTGGGGGAGGGGTTCACACTAAGTGCTCCTAACTACTGAGCCTATCTCCAGCCCGCTAGGGTCCACTTTTTGCTGTTGGAATGGTTTTCATGCAGCCAAGTCCATTCTTCAGCTCATGTAGCTTCTGGTGACCTTGAATTCCTGATCTTGACTAAGCCTCCCAAGTGCTCCGGCCACAGTACAAAGTATAGCCAGGCAGCACATGGCTATATTCACTCTTTAGTTCAGAACAGGGCAGACACAGAGCAGGTCAAATAAGCCAAGCCACAGAAATACAAAATTGAAGATCAACACACTATTCCTAATTATTTGGCCACAGGTGACTAGAACAGAAAAATACTTCCAAGGCAGCTAAGACATTTGGACGTAATGACCACTAGAATTGGCCCAAAGACTAGCATAGCAGAGTGGGCTGGATGCAGTCCATGGTTAGGCAAAATGCACAATCTCAATACTGATAAGTAACCCAATTATATCTCCAGTTTTGCTCAAACTCCAAACTGCTAACAGTAACCATGAAGAGAACCCACAGACTCCCGTTAAAATGAAGTGGCCTTTGGATAGGAGTCAAAGACTCTTGACAAATAGTTTGAAAATTCATTTCATTGCTCAGAATGTTGGCAAATTTAACTAAAGCTTCTCATCTTAGTTTCTTAATCCGGAAAGGTGTTCAACACACCAAACCCAAAGGAAGAGAATGGGGCAATTTCTATAGTCTCCCATTATTTCCCTCAAATATAAGCCACATAATTTCTGTTCAAATTGCAGTCACAAAAATCTATTAGAAAGTCTGTATATCTTATACCCTCAGATTAGTGAGTCTATTAACATTGTTGCAAGTCTTTAGTGGTAGAGCACATGATTCATGGTCAAACACAGCAGCACTGCCTCAAGACACAGCAGAGGGATGCACAGCTGTCAGTAATCAAACCTTTGACCTGCTGACCTTTGCATATAATGAACTTTAAGGATTGCTACAACAAAGAACCACTCTTTGCTGCACCCACTTACCATCAGTCAGTCTACTTCTGGGATGCATACCCACATCCACTTACCACTGCGTGTTTGGGAGACTGACTAGAGCCAAGACCATTCAATCAAACCAAGAGTCCTGGGAGCCAGGTTCCTCATTATTGGGAAAAGATCAGAGGCAGCATTCCAAGCCAAACCTTATCCAGCTTTATTAAAGATACTTTCCATAAACAATCATGGTATTTCAGGCAGGACATGGGCAGACAATCATTAACAGTTTACAAGAACTTCCAAACTCCCTTCTTGTATAGACTACCAAAATCAGAAAGCCACTATAAAACCCAGTGAAGTCTTCATTCAATGCTTTGAAAAGGGGAAGAGCTTAGAGTGAGGGTTGACATTTCACATTAAGGATGTTGTTTAACAACTTTTCACAAGCCGACCCTGACTTTCAGAAAAACGAAATGAAAACGGCAGAATTATCATTCTGAAGATCCACAATCTTGTCTATAAAAGGAACCGATGCTCCTTTGAGGATAATTATCACTGCAAAGTCCAGATTGCCCAATAGACCAGCAAAACCAATTTTAGGGGGTCAGGTTCCAACAGGTCTCTGGTTTTAAGGGAGTTAAGTCTATGTTGATGGTACAGGGGGAAGAGGATATAAAAAATGAATTTAGTTTTCCCACACAAGGCATTCTTTGCCATGGTGGCCACATATGTCAACACCAGGACGTCTCTCCTGAGCCAAGAGGAGACCTTTAAATTGTCAAGGAGAGATGCTTTCATCAACCATCATCAATCCATCTTGGGAGACATTTTGCTAGTGACACATGTTCCTTCCCCCCCACCAAAACAATGAAGTGTTCTGTGTGCTAACAACATAGCTTAAAAAAAAAAAAAAGTAAAACAAGATTCTGCATTTTTATAAAACTTGATAAAAAATAGTATTTCAAACTGTACAGTCACCAGAAGTACACAGTTATCAAAATGCACACATCTCACTTGGCATCTCCAGCACCTTCAGCTTTCTGTGCCTAAAACAAAAACAGGTAAAGTCAACATATAAATTAAAATTCATCTTTGCTTATAGTCTATACATGGTTGTCATTGTTTCCATGATAAAATCCAGGTTTTGGGTACTTAAAGACACTAAATAAATCACCACCTCCACTAACTGCCAAGGAAGAGAGATCAAAGACCCCAGGTCCTTGCAGTGTTAAAACTTCATGTACAGCACAGATGGCGCTACAGGACAGGCCAACACAGCCCAGTGCCTTTTAGAGGATGACAGATTTTTACAACTGAGGATTTCAGATAAACGAAAATTGCTTAACAATTTCGGGATCCATAATGACTCATTGAGTGCATGTCCAGTGAAGATTTAGCTACAACTGTACCTGGTCTGTTTTGGCGTCTCCATTTTCTGCAGGATTATTTGCATCCTTGCCAGCATCAGCTTTCCCCTTCTTCCCCTTGGGTACCTTCTCTCCCTTCTAAAACCAAGGAAGGATGGATAGAACAGGTTTTCATTTTGTATACCAGAAGATAACCTACCAAGTTCTGCAAAGCAGGCTTATCTACTGGATACACCCCCTCCACGAAGCTAAATTGTAACTTGTGGCACTCAGCATACAAAGTCATTTAAACGTGAATTATAGAATACATTAGCTAGAAATCCTTATTTAAATCAAGTGGAGTTTTCTGTAATTTGTGCCAAGGATCCTAACATGACAACTATCAGGAATATGGCTATCAAAATAACTTACAACATCCACTGATATAGTCACCATTGTGTTGAATTAGGTTAAGGAGGTGAAGGGCAGTTCTCTTTGTGTGAAAATCACCAAACTAGAATTAGCACTAAAGTCTCTGGGTCCCACTTACCTTTGCAGGGGCCTTTTTAGGCTTGGGCTCTGGCTTTGGAGGAGCAGGTTTCTTATTTTGGTAGGCATAGGGGAAAGAGGAAACTATTAGTATGATGCACCAAAAGAAACAACCCCACCACACCACAGCTAGGAAAGCTCCTGTCATTTGGGGTTGCCTGTCTTTTGCAAACTAAAAGTGCCCTTCCACTTGGGTCATTACCATCAGAACTCAACAGTAGACTCCAGCTGTGCAACACTAGGTGATTTACTCCAAACCAGCCACAAACTATAATTCAATGAAACCGATGGGATCACCAAAATGTTTCCCAACCTCAGGGTTAAGTATAGGAAAGTCAAAGTATATATACACTTACAGCAGACAACCTCGCGGATCTTCTCTGTGGCTATTTAAATAAAATAAAAACAAAGTCAGAAAAATAAGCACAAGCTTCACACCAGTTTCTGCTCCCACATTAAAGAAAGAAACAAAAAGAAGCTCTAGATCGGGGCTGTGGCCAAATCCTACCACAGGAGACCCCTGGTGTTTCACACCCAAGGCCTTGTGCGACAAGCCCTATATGAACAACACTCACCTCGTCCTTCACCTTGGCTTTATCTCCTTTAGTATCCCCTTCAGCCTATAAAAAGAAGACCAAAGTTTGTAACCTCGGAGGTAAATCTCAGTCATCGGGAACTTAACAGAAAGCGACACCACGTTTCCAAGACGTATCCACTCAGATTCTCTTAAAAGTAGCTTTAGTGGGGATCGAGCCCGAGCGAAGCCCGAGGCGCGCACGGAGGACCCCGCAGGTTGGCAGTAAAGCGCGGGAGAAGCTGGAGCGGGGCCGGGAAGCTGGCCGGCGCCACCGCCACCAGCCAGGCAGGAGCAACAGCTGCAGATTGTGCAAACAAACCCCTCCGGAGGCGGAGCCCAGTGCCGTTGCTATGGCAGCCGTCGAGGGCGGGAGCTCGGGGAACTCGTGGGCGGCAGCGCGCGGCCTCTGCGCCGCGAACGTGGGCGGCCGGGGGCGGGGCCCCGCCGAGGCCCCGCCCCTCGCGGCGGCAGTTTTTTGGCGGCAGCGCGCTCCCCCGCCCGCCCAGCCGAGCGCCGCCTTCCCGCCCTTTCGGGTTTGAATCGCCCGCTCGCTCGCCCGCCCCGGAGGAGGGGAGGGGGCTGCCGGTGGGGGAGGGGGCGCGGGCGGCGGAGGAGAGCGGGGTAAACAGCTGCCAACATGGCTCCTCCCGTCGCCGCCGCCGCTCCTCCAATATGGCTTCTGGCGCCCGCGGGCAACGCGCCGCGCAGGATTCGCCCGCGGCCCGACTCGGGCTGGAACGCCGCGCCCGCTCCACCCGCCGAGTTCCGCGCTCGAGGCGAGCGGTGGAAGTGGCGGCGCCCGAGCTCCCGCGCGCTCGCGCCACGTACCTTTCTTTTGGGCATGGCGGCGGCGGGGGACGGCGGCGCAGAACGCGGGGCTGCAGCGGTGCGCGGGTTTGGTCCAGCCGGGGGTCGTTCTCGCTGCTTCTTCACACTGCTCGGGCTCCGGGGGGTTTATAAAGTTTTTATAGCGCTGGGAGCCCCGGACCGGTTAGAACCGGATTTCACCTCCCGCCGCCGCTCATTGGCCCAGCTGGGGTCACGTGGGCGGGGTTTAAACTCACCTCCTCTGGAGTGAGGAGGGGGTGTAGGGGGAGGGGGGAGCGAGACGGTGGCGCGCCTTGGGGGAGGGGGCGCGGTGGGGGAGGCGCGCATTGGAGGCAGTAAAGGAGGGGTCGCGAGGCGGCGGGCTCGGGGATCCGCTCCCGCTGGAGGTGGCTTTTGCAAACTAGCAAGTTCCTTCCACCTTATGCAACCCTGCTACCCACTTCTCCAGGCCGTGCGACACCAGGCGCATCTCGTCCGCTTTCCTTCCTGCTCCCGCTGGGGGCCCCAGAAGAGGGGATTGCGAGGCCTGGCCGCGCTGCCAGCTCCATAGGCGGCGGGAGGAGCGCCGCTTCAGGCGCGGGCGGCCCCTCCAGGGGCCACGGGCTCCAGTGGGATGAGAGCGAGGCGGCTAGCTTGGCGCAGTCGGACGTGCATCCTTTGGAGCTGCCACCTTGGGGAATCCCTCCGTGCGCCTCACCTGGAAAGCAGTCCAGGAGATGGGGGCGTGGGCTTGAAGTGGAGGCTCTGCACACAGGGGCGCCTTTCGGGTACAGCGGGGCAGGTAGGAGCTGTCCTTTCAGCACCTACTGCTCAATCGCCTCCCCAAACGCTAAACAGCCCCCCAACATCGGTCGGGTGGCTTCCTTAAGTCCCTGCACGTCCAGCCCCTTGGACCCCGTCACAGAATGGTGGAGAAAAGCCGCCAACTCGGTGTGCGAGCACTCCCCTCCCCCTAAGCCCTCTGGGTCTGGGATACAGCTAGCCCAGCTGCCCCCACTCGACAGAGGCCACCAAACCTGGGCTTTGCAAATGCCACAGCTGGCGAAATCCCTCCCAACACACCATCAAGCCGGTTTGCTCCCGCTCGTGTGAGGAAAAAGCCGTTGAAGGGAAGCTCCGGAAGATTAGGAAACAAGTAGATGAACAGGTGTGATGGCCAAGGGGCCCTTCCAGGGCACCCCAACCCGAAGCCCAGCGGTCTAGAGCTAGCCAAGCGCACACGGGGGGTGGTGCCAATCGCAGAAGCAAAGCAAGGTGTTCGTTAGTTACTAAACAAATCTTACACCTAAGATGTTTTTTTAAATTCTATTTGACACCCAGAACATAACCAGCTAAACATCTGCAACAGGGTGTTTGGCGCTCAGGTGGAAGACACATAAATAGGTCCCACCTTATTTTTTGAGGCAAGGGTTGAAGCTAGTTTGCACCAGCCATACCAGCAGAAAGAAAACATCCAAGTCAAGCATTTTTCAGCCTTTGCTTCTGGGCAGCAATGGTTCTGTCTCTTCCACTCCCAGTGCCTCCCGAGACAGCTCCCGCCCCCTCCACCCTGTGCACTTTTCCCAGAACACAGGTCCCCAGGCTGGAAGATACCTTCCCCATTAATCACCTGTACTGCACTCCAATGTAAGAGAAAGTCAGCCACGACTCAACAGCCATGCTTGCTGGGCAGATTCCGTTTGCTGCCTCCAGCCTCTCATTCCCGCCTTAATTGTAGGGCTCTGCATTATAGCCACATAATTCATGCCTCCCTAATTAAAGCTGTCAACAGCCTCATTGTAAAGCTGGAAAATGTACAGCACCTGCTCTTGGGGAACTCTGTGCCAGGGAGTGGTTTTGGGGAGTGCCAGGTGTATAGGGGGCCTTGCCAAAGGGTGCATTGATTGGCTTTTGGTTGCAGTGTCAGGATTTTACCCTTGATTCTGAGGATGAATGATGGCCAAAAGCTCACCAGTAACAGGTATCTAGGCACACAATGGGGTGGCAGGGGCAAGGCATAGAAAGTTAGGAACGAGTATGTTTAATGTGGCTTATAATAGTCAACCTCTTCCTGGGAGGGAGGTGCTGGGGAAGGGGTTTACAGACAGAATGAGAAGATCAGAGTGGTATTTGGTGGGTGTTCCTGGCAGTATTTACTGTTCTGGGGGCACCTGAAGCAGAATAGTTGCTCTGCAGACCTTTCTTCAAAGGTAGTAATCTCTCCTCAGCCCTATGGGGAGACAAGATAGGATCTTGTCTCTTCCTGTAAGGCAGCATTGGCCCTCACAGGCTGAGAGCCAGGAGTAAATTCTGCCATGATGAGAGTAAATTGTTTCAGGACCTACTTAGGTTAGTAGGGTCAAAGAGCTGTGAGGAGCCTTGGAGATTGGGAGTGGGAATCAGTTTGAGTTGTCGCGAGAGAAGGAGACAGTCAATCAGGAAATGCTTGGTTCTGTTCAGTCCTGATGTGTTACAAATTGGCCTGTGTTGGATTAGACTCTAGGACCTCTACAGGCCCTTCTGCTACCCCACAGCCATGGAGGGGGTTGGGTCTCACTGGGGAGTGGATCCTGGCCCCATGCCCTGCAAGGGGGAGTAAAGCTTGTGTGGGCTGAGTCAACAATAGGTAATTGGATTGTAATCACCCGCCTGGCTTCCATGAGCCATTGGGGGCGCTGAGCCTTTCAGTGAGCAGTCAGTACTGGTGGGAGGGGGTGGAGATTCAATAGCAAATCCCAGGTGGAGAGCCAAGGGGAGGAGCAGCAGATGGGCAAATTTTCTTCCTGTCCTTCCCACCCCGTTCTTCCCTACTCTTGGAGGCTGGCTGCCTATTAGTTATTTAACACTGGACTCAAATCTTTTGTGAAGTCACATGGTGGGGGTCTCAGGCAGGATGGGTAATGGTCTAGGTTTTGGGAAGACCTCTTCTGCATGTTGCAGGATATGCTAGCAGAAAAAAAAAAAAAAAAAGCATACATCCAAAAAACGGGGACAGGAAACACAGCTGATGAGTTAGGATCCCCTGTTCTCCAGATTATTGGTGACTGGTCTTGGGCATAGTGGAAGCATGGGAGACTGTCCCTCAAACTCCAGTGGGGATCCATCTATAGGCGGTATGCCTGGCTTTGGGGCTCCCTGCAAAGGAAAGGGAGCACAAGTCATCAAAAACAGGGAGGTGCCTTTCACCAAGAAAAGAGAAGTTTGGGGTCCATGAGGCAGAGGGCAGGACAAAGTAGCCAGTAGTAAGCCTCACTTAGGCAGGTGCTGTGCCCAAAAGTGCCAGCCAGTCGGCTCGTTTAAGTTCCAAGGCCTGCAGGAAGCCTTGGACTCGCTCTTCCCGTTTGGCGGAGAGTTTGTGCAAGCGTGTCCGTCGGAGTTGGGCATCAGCACTGGCCTGGAGCCCCTCTCGAAGCAGCTGCTCGGTCACGGCAGCCTGGTCCCTCTCCAACTGGTGTCTCTTCCGCTCCTCAGCATACATGTCTCGGGCCTTCTGCTAGAGAGAAGTAGGATGTGGGGTAAGGAGTTAATTTTAGGTGTGGGTGAGATGGGATGGAGAAGGTGGAAGTAGGGTATAGAATGGCCAAGTATACAGACTCTGGAGAGAGTGTCTACCAGTGTGGAAAGGCAGCGATGGCGCCCGCATTACACAGTCAAGAAAGCAGCAGTCCATCTTGGCTTGTTTTATGTGGAAATAATCTGTATTTCTTAAAATTCTTCCAAGCTTATACTTGGAAACAGGTAAACAGCCTGACTTTTGATTCTCTGTAGCTGTGGGAAGAACTTCCCCAACTATTTTTTTAAAATTCATTTGTAAAGTGGGGGCTGTGCCTACCTGGAAGAGAGGTTTAAGGGATTAGGGATAATAAATGCAAAACCCACTCTAACATATCAGGTGGCAGAGAAACTGTCTGGTTGTTGTCTGCTGTCTGGGACAGTCACTGGTCTTCTTATGGTCCCTAGGTCAATGTGAGGTGCCGTTCTACAACTCCATAATTATTTTTCAGGGTCCACCTCTAGATTGGCCTCCTATAATGAAGACAGGCTTGACTCTCTAAGCAGACAGCCCTCCTAGGAACACTGAGAAGCCAGTTCAACTCTCTTAAGCCACTTACCGCTGGCTAGACCATGTATTAGTCTCTAGTCTGCTCTGTCTGTTGGAAAAGAAATCCCTTCATGGCTCCAGAGCCACCAGGGCCCCAGGAATTAATTCTGACAGCTGGTGGCGATTGGAGTCTCTGAAGTACCTCTGAGACCATGCATATGTCTTCTGATGACAATGACAAACTCTTTAAAAGGACAGAGAAGACTTTGGTACTTGGAGCAATCTGCATATGAAGTATTCCCTCATTTGACCATATGCTCACAAGAGGACAGGAAGGGTGCTTGTGGCAAAAGTGGGAAATCCCTTTGGAACAGAAGGGACTGGCTTGTTTCATGGAGCAATGGAGATTTCCTATAGGATATCTATAGGTATGCCTTATCCTGCATGTCCATACCCAGCACTGTGCTATGGTATGTTGTGTTCAACTCTTGTCCTAATCAGCCTATAAGCTTTGACTGCCTTGTCTTCACTATTTTTGTGGTTGTTGTATATAAGACAGGGTTTCACTGTGTAGACATGGTTGTTCTGGAACTCACTGGCCTCGAACTTAGAGTGCCGGAATTAAAGGCATGGGCCACCACTGCCTGGCTCTTGTCTTCACTATTTAGGCGCATCCCGCATGTTATGTTTACAAACACTGCATTCATTGTCTCGCTGACCTTCAAAATGGAGCTGTGAGCAGGCCAGGTGATGTGGCACATGTCTGTGATGATCACAGCACCTAAGAGGCAGAGGCAGGTAGATTTCCGAGTTCTAGGATACTGTAGTTTACAATGACCAGGACAGCCAGGCTACATATAATAGGGAGACCCTGTCTCAAAACACCAAACAAATGAATTACTTCGTGTGTGTGTGTGTGTGTGTGTGTGTGTGTGTGTGTGTGTGTGTGTGTGTGTGTGTGGTGGAGGGGTGGGGTATTAGCGGCAGCAGCTCACGTTGGCTCCCCAGAAACCAAAGGTGGCAGAATGTGCCTGTAACCCTAGCATTAGTAAGGAGGGACATCCCTGAAACTTACTGACCTTCTATCCTAGCAAAATAGATGAACTTCACATTTAATGAGAGATCCTGTCTTAAAACATAGAGGTGGAGGGCTGGCAAAATCTATCAGTAGGGAAAGGTGCTATTTAAGCCTAACAACAAGAATTCAATCGCTGGAGTCCATTGCAAGGTGGAGGAGAGCTGGTTATGGTGGTCCACACTTTTAATCCCAGCACCCAGGAAGCAGAGGCCAGCCTGGTCTACAGAGGGAGTGGCAATAACCCCACCTACACTGTGAGTTCCAGACCCTGTCTCAAAAACAATAACAAAACATTAAAGAAGTTGGAAAGAGAAAACCAGCTCCACAAAGCTGTCCTATGACCTCTACATACATACAGTGTAACCCACATTACACTTAAAGAATACACTAATAATTAAAATAAGAGACAAAGACCAAGGAAAGATAACTGGCGTACACTTACAGACACGCACATACACAAACAAGTACATATATACATACACTAACCATACTATACACAAAGTTGCATGAATTTTGTCAGGTCAGAATGAATTTGCTTGAAGCCCTGAAATTTAATAAATTCATGTTCAGAAGACTCTCACCTTTCAAAGACTGTATTTCTTCTTTCTTTAAAAAATTACTTTTATTATTTTTCTAATTGTGTTTGTGAATGTGTGAATGTGTGTGTGTATGAGAGACAGAGAGAGAGTGTGTGTGTGTGTGTGTGTGTGAACATGAGTACAGGTGCCCACAGAGACCAGAAACACTGGCGTTTCCTCAGAGCAAAGTTACAGCAGGTTGTGAGCCACTGTGAGTGCTAGAAACTAATTGTCACCTTTGGAAGAGCAGGAAACCCGCTTAACATCTGAGGCATTTCTCCCTTTTTCCTTTCTTTTTCAGGTAAATTTTTATTTCTAGGAAAAAACAATAAATTGACCATATCACATACAAGTGTAATCCTAGCTGGGCATGGTGGTGCACACTTTTAATCCCAGCACTCCGGAGGCAGAGGTAGGTGGATCTCTGTAAGTTCAAGGCCAATGTGATCTTGGTCTATACAGCAAGTTCCAGCACAGCCAGGGTTACACAGAGAAACAATGTCTCAAAAACCACAAGTAATCCTGAGCATTATATTTTATAGACCAGATATTGAAATTTGGCACTACAACAAAAATCCAGGCAGATATTTACATTAGCTCTTGAATATCTCACACAAAACTTTTCGGTCAGTTAAAATAAACAACCAGCTATAAAATTATATTTTATTTTTGGTTTATAGCATAATTTTTAAAATTCCTTATTTTATTTAAAGACAGGGTCTTGCTATGTGGCCCTGGTTGGGCCTGAACTTTCTAATGGAACCAGGGTGGCCACAGAGTTGGGATGATCCTCCTACCTTTGGTATCTGTGCTGGGATCACAGTCAGGTGTCACTATGCCAGGACCCAAGGCTTACTCTCTTTTTTTTACATTAATTAATTGTATAAATACGAATGTTTTGTCTGAATATGTATGTATATGCACCTGTGTAGGCCTGGGGAGTTCAGAAGAGGCGCTGAACCCCTGGAACTAGTTAGGAGTGGTTGTGAGCCACAATAAAGATGCCTAAAGCCAGGTCCTCTGCAAGAGCAACAAGTGTTTCTAATGACTGAGCCATCTCTTCAGCCACCTAGGGCTTTTCTTTTTTCTTTTTTAGGTTTTTTGGGACACAATTTTTCTGTGTAACAGCTATGGCTGTCCTGGAACTCACTTTGTAGACCATGCTGGCTTCGAACTCACAGAGAGCTGCCTGCCTCTGCCTCCCAAGAGCTGGGATTAAAGGCATGCATCATCACACCAGGCTTCTAAGGCTTTTTTCCTAAGGCTTTTTCTTAAGTCTGTGAGATGGGGATAACAGTACCCACCTCCCTAGGTTGATTTAGTAAAAACCAGATGAAGAGAGCCTCACTTAGAATTGTTTGCTATTCTGTTACCAGGGTTGGTGAAGAAACATCCCTAGAGGGAGGAAAGGCAGTGATGCCTAAAGGCTCAGTGCTCCTCTAAATGGCAGCCCCAAATAAACGCCAGAGTGGAGAAGTCAAGCAAAGCTTGACCCATTTGTAGGAACCAGTGGGCCACTGTGAGGATGACAAGGGGCAGCTGAGCTAGCTAGCCTCCTTATTTTACAGATAAGGACACAAAGGGATTTAGTTTGTCATACAGCTGGCTGAAATTCTGTT